TTCCCCTATAAGGTATAGGCGTCGCGCTGTGTGTAGGCTAGTTGTTGCGTTACTTCTTTCCAGTTGCGTTGGAACATGTCGTATGACGCATAATGCTGTACAAATACATTAAAGATGAGACATTATCAATATCTTTCGCAGTATTGCACATTAGGTCAAAGTCAATCAAATTAAAACAGTATCAAAGTAAATCAACAATGAAAAAACAGATTTTCTACGTTACCTTACGGTTAAATCATTCGCTCGTATTGCGCTGAATGTAGTTATTATACGTGTTAGAAAATTTGGCAGAGAAGAAAATAAAATTACTCTGATGTCACTCACTGTTCCGATCTATTAATTTAATTTCTACGATCTAAACGAGGTAAAAGTTTAATTTTGTTGAACCTATCCGTATACATATCAGACAAGTTTTGTATTATATTCTTATTTCATTGTAGTTTACTGAGGAAGGGTTGAAACGTTTAATAAAGAGAAATCGATGATTTTATATTGTGAGAACCGAGTTCTGTTCAATTTGTGACTCACATTGGCACTCTCTCCTTCCTATATAAAATAAAATTAATTTAGATGGAAATTTATAAACAAAATAAAAATAAATATAATAAACGATTACAAATTGGATTCAAGATCAAGGTAGATTAAAATAAAGTTGTAATGAGTAAATTAAAGAAACACAGATTTTTATTCTATTTGCATATGTAAAGTGAAGTATTAAAGTGAATCAACATTAAGTCAAAGTTAATAAATTTGAAACAGTATTGAAGTGAATTAACAATGAAACAATAGATTTTCTACGTCATCTTGCGCTTAAAACATTCGTATAATAGTGCTCCAATTATTGGAAATTTTTGTGTATGTAAATTTTGTGTATGTTACAATACACAAAAATTTGAAATAATTGGAACACTATTGTAATAGCATATTCCTGAGACCAAATCAAGTCAAAAAGTCCTGTACAACTTTTCCCTCCGACAAACAGTTATCGAAATATCATAAACTAAACATTGAAACAGTAAATTTTCTCATGTATAAAAGTATTAGATAAATAAAACAATGTTTCGAACAAAACTTGTTCATATTAATTAGTAGAATAAGATATTATAATAAACAATAGGGGGTACTATTAAAAAAATCGAAGGTGACCTTCACGGGACCTTCAGGCAACTATTCAAGGTCAAATTAATGACACCGTCTTGTGTTATCCTCGAAACATAACTCTTGTTTGAAACATTTTTCACAAAAATGCATATTTTTCCAAATTAACGCCTGATACGGTCGCTCTGTAACACCCTGTATATTGGTTACAATCAGCCCAATACGAGCGAATGATTTAAGCGCAAGATGACGTAGAAAATCTATTGTTTCATTGTTAATTCACTTCAATACTGTTTTAAATTTATTGACTTTGACCAGATGTTGATTCATTTCGATACTTGGCTTTGACCTGATGTTAATTCACTTTGATACGTCACTTTACATATGCAAATAGAATAAAAATCTGTGTTTCTTTAATTTACTCATTGCAGCTTTATTTTAATCTACCTTGATCTTGAATCCAATTTGTAATCGTTTATTATATTTACTTTGATTTTGTTTATAAATTTCCGTCTAAATTAATTTTATTTTCTTCAATAACATCAGTGATTTTTGTTGACCGTGTCTGGCAATTAAAATTCATATTGCGAAAAATATTACCCCAGCCAGGATTCGAACCTGGGACCTCCTTACAATCCGTGACGGGTTTCGACGCTTAAGGGTCGACGGGTTAACGCCCGTCACGGATTGTAGGGAGGTCCCAGGTTCGAATCTTGGCTGGGGTAATATTTTTCTCAATATGAATTTTAATTGCCAGACACGGTCAACAAAAATCACCGATGTTATTAATTTATTAATTACTGCTGGCGACTCTAAGAATATTCTTACTAGTTTATTTTCTTCTCTGCAAAATTTTCTAACACGTATAATAACTACATTCAGCGCAATACGAGCGAATGATTTAAGCGTAAGGTAACGTAGAAAATCTGTTTTTTCATTGTTGATTTACTTTCATACTGTTTTAATTTGATTGACTTTGACCTAATGTGCAATACTGCGAAAGATATTGATAATGTCTCATCTTTAATGTATTTGTACAGCATTATGCGTCATACGACATATTCCATCGCAACTGGAAAGAAGTAACGCAATAACTAGCCTACACACAGCGCGACGCCTATACCTTATAAAATACATCTGGTTTTCCCAAAAATCAAATCGTCGTATCATAATAAAAATATACATAGATGTGATTGGCATTTGATGCTCTTAATCTTTTGCGTTAAAAAAATTTTTTAGTTTTTCAAAAATAATAGTAGGGGTGGGGGTAAATTAAAAAATTTGACATTGTTGAAAAATATGATTACGCCATTGTGAAGACTATGAAAAACAATAAAACTTTTGTGTAAAACATTTTTTCATAAACCTTATATTTTCGAAGATATTCGTAAAAAATGAAAAAATCCGTTATTTTCGAGGGGCTGTTTCACCCCCTAAACGTCGAGATAAGCACATATAAAAAAATACGGGTCTAATACTTTTTTATGCTCTACAACATATCCGAAACGCATTGAAATCGGTGAGGGACACTTCCGACTGTTCCCTTGTAAGTACGTCCGGATGTCGATCGACCGGAAAACTTAATTAGCCCGAGGCCCAGTTCCCTCTAAACACTTTCTCTCTCTCTTTCTGTTGCAGGCGAGAAACCTCATAAATGTCAAGTATGCGGCAAGGCGTTCTCGCAGAGCAGCAACCTGATCACGCACTCGAGGAAGCACACGGGTTTCAAGCCGTTCGCCTGCGAGCTCTGCGGCCGAGCTTTCCAGCGCAAGGTCGATTTGAGGAGGCACCGCGAGACCCAACACGCCGATCTGAACGCGTCGCATCGACCGCCGATTGGTTCGATTCCCGGACAGAATTCCCTGCCCAGTGGAAATCCGCCGATGATGCAGTGAGACGAGGAAGTGGTTGATAATCTGGCGCCGGATTGATACGATTGGAGATCGTCGCAATTAGCGACTCTTTTCCGCGAGTCAGGCCGGATTAAGGACGCAACTGTGAGAAACGAAATCATGAGGACGATCTCCGACGATGGCGGAGACTGGAGCGATAAATTAGTCACGTGGATAGAATCGCGAGTGAGGCGATTGCGGATTGCAACATGGTGGACTGCAGACTGGCAGATATTAACTTTTTGCACTTGTGTTGTTTCCCGGCGTTACATTTCTCAAGTAATGGAAAGAAATGAATTAACGTTGTCCAAGGCACACATTTGTAAATTAAATTTACAATTCTAATTTATTGATACAGAAAGAGTCGCACTATGCACGGTCATTGAGTGAGACAGTTGAGGAATTTCAACTACAGATATGTTTTCTAATAAATGTGGCCACTCTGGGGAAAAAAGACAGTTAGCAACCCATTTTAGGGCCCACAATTAGTAATCGAACTAATTGGATTATTCGTAACTCTACTCTGGGAAAAATTTTGACCGTTTTTTTTGTAGTTAAGCAACTTAACATTTCGGTTAGTGTCTCTTGAGCGAAAATTATCTTTGCGTTACTGAATATCGACAGAACTAATTGAGAGAATTGATTAGTATTACTTAAAAATCTTGGATACAGATAGAACAGATAATTGCGATTTTTAGCTACGCGGGGTAAAATTTGTAAAAGATAATTCGATTACTAATTGTGGACCCCAAAATGGGTTGCCAACTGTCCTTTTTTTTCCCCCCCAGAGCAGTTGAGGTCGATTGAAATTTGGAATTTTATTATTAACACTGGCAATCTGAGGAAACGAACTCACAGATGTGTTATTTAAAAGATTACCGAAAGGCAAAATATTAATATCGGCCAACTGCGGATTATATTGAAGATACGAAGTTTCGTGTACACACATTCCGATCGCGTGACGGATGCGAAATTAACCGGAACAGTGCAATTCGAGGGTGAACTCTCGGGACGAAATGAAATTTGCCGGAAAGGGGTACTGTTTTCTATCTCTATTAATCTTTTGGCATTAATGTCGCGAGGAGATGCTGCATAAGTTGATATTTATTGGGCCGTTTGTTTCACGTACGATTGATCTAACGCGAATATCCCGCGACTTCGAGGACTCTTAACTTGCAAAATATACTCAGGATAAATGGAGAAAGTGAATTGGTGATTTGTTGCGACTAGACATTCCGTGCGAAAGCGTTGTATCCGTTTCGTTCCTAAGTGAAGTGCGTGCCGGGGGGGGGGGGGAAGGTTTGGTTTCGTCAGCGATTTTTATTCGGACAGAGAACCTTCTGCGGTGAGAGATGATAATTTAAACAAATTTTAACGATACGTAAGCGTGAAAGTGAATGGATCGACGACTGTTTTTGTTACGAATGATGATTAACACTTTCTACTTTAATCGTCTAGCTACCTGCAAATCGATTACCTGTTACTGTAACTTCTCTTATCGCATAGATATTCTCACGATACGCAATGCGACCGTCGAGCTAATCGGACATTTTTTACTAATCTTTACGAAAATGCCATACATTTGTGGGGCTAAGTTAGTTCCTAACGTCACCGAGTTCCTCCGTGACTCTCGCTGGCTTTCGAAGCTGGGCCGTCAACTCCAGTTCGGTGTTCTGTCCTAGACCATGAGATCACTCATCCTCCTTTCCATCCCTAGGCTCAGTAAATATAACACAAAGCCGTAGGATCTGTACCTTTAAAGCGTTCACTTAAAAAATCACCCAGGTAGCCAGCTGACGTCACTCGTCGTCAGCTGGCTACCTGGGTGATTTTTTAAGTCATTTTGACGTCGAAATGACGACAAGTGCCGTCAGCTGGCTACCTGGGAGATTTCTTTCAATTGAGGATCTACCCAAGCAACGTTTTTAATATACGAGAAATTAACAATACGCAATTTAAGATCGACATTTTTCTCACGTTACATTAAAATGTTCTGTTTTAAATGTAAATAACGTCCGAGTAGTATGAGATCGTCGAACGGCGTATAACGTGTCGAAAGTACGGCGCGGTACGTACTGTATTTTGCATATCTCCCGCACCTGTCGTTGAAAGAAAAGAGCATCAAGACCACCGACCCCTAAAGTTGCAACTGTGACCAAAAATTGTAAATAGCACGTAGATTGTATCACGGCTAGTCTAAGCGTATAAATATATACATATAAATGAATCGAAGCTATAAATATTATAAATAGAGAGGGCACATAACGCGTGCGGCGCAGAGCCGCTCCGACTAATGGCGGCTCGGCTCGCCGCGGCCTCACCAAGAAGTTATTATATTCTTCCCTTTTTCTCGCTATCAAAATTTTTATTGTTGTACCATTAATATCATTATGTAATTATTGTAATTAGAGACTCGCTATTAATATTATTGTCATTATTATTAACAATAAACGCTGTTACCATTTGTAAGCGCTTCTTCTGTCTAACAATTTCTCTCCCCTCCTCTAACCGCCCGGCATATTTTTGTCGGACAAGACTTGCCTCTCGTTATTCATTTTATTGCAATATATCTAACTCCGGTCATAAGCCTGGCATAAAATATAATTTTTCTAATGACACGTTGACATATAAATATGTACGTGAAAGGGAAGCACGTAATTCCGCCAAAGCTACAAAAAGTAACGGAGAATAATCATTATTAAATATGCTTGCTGTAGCTTAATGTGTCTTCATTTAGACGGCCTTCCACATGTCCGTCCAAGTCGATAGCTCGATTAATCAAGGCCGCTGAATCTGGCACTGCCGGATGATCACAATCGTCCTAGCCTCGCTCGCTGTAATTCAGGGTTAAACGGCCGTGCCAATTAAGCGGACTACCCTGAAGAACCCCTTAACAGCCCAATATGTTTTCCGCCGAAGAGAGAGAGTTTCCCTCGAGTTCCCCCTCTCCCCCCACCCGCTCGCGCGCTCATTATTTCGCGCAAGAGTGTACGAGTGCGATGTTAGGGCGGACGTGAGATTTTCCGTAAGCTCGTTTACAGCCTCCGGCGTCCGCGCCAATCGTGCAGGACGTCGCGGAGATAAAGGAGATAAGGGCCGGCAAAAGAGAGAAGAGAGACGGGGAGCATCGAAAAATTTATCTGCGAGAGAGATAGGCACGGAGGAAGATAAATAGGGAGCGAGACAGAGAGACTGCGGAGGGACATTACAGCACAGACTGCACGACACCATGACGCAGCCACGGGAGCAGATTGGACAGTTATTGCATTCTGGGTAAGATTAATTGATATGGGGACCAGTGGGTGGGCCGAAGGGCGCGCGGCTACGTCGGCGCTTAAACCTTGTCTCAGGCAGTACGAGCTGGGGATGAGAGAGCGGTGATTAACCGATTGCACCGTGAACCGAGTGGAACCGAAAACCATCCCACCCGCGTACCACCTAATAGCCATTGAGTAATAGAGTTCATTATTAAATAGTATCTGTAGCCGCGTCAAGATGTACGTGAGACATCATCGTGTGGTTCAAGCGCTCGTGAGACAGCTTGGCGATTGCGCGCTGAGTACTAAATTTTCCGACATCTACACTGAGAAATATTTCCAACGGATAAACCAATTAAATAGCATTTCCGATGGTTAATTTTGCCGATCACGTTTGCCGATTTGACGAAATTTATCCGCTGAAATGCAGTCGCCCGTAAAATTTGATTGAAAAACCGTTCACATATTTCATCGGATATGTCCGTTTGTTATTATACAGGGTGTACTAAAACCACCGGATATCCTTTGAATCGCAGATTCCTTAGAAAATTTCAAGAGGAAAATTCTCATAAAAAAATGTCGAGGCTGTGATAGTTTTTAAATAATAAGCGATTATATTTCACGAATGACAGGTCTGAGATTTCGCGCGCTCAGGCACGGCGACATGACGAGTGATAAAAGTGTTCCTATGTGTTTCGCGAGCGAGCGAGAACCAAAGTCACCGTTTAACGGGACAGAAAATATTTGGGAAGACGACGATCCGGTTATTTTGAAAACTTGAGGATAAAGAGAGGCGGGAGACTAGATTGAATCTAACTGAAAATTCCAAGTTCACTCAGAATATCGGAGATCGTCTGATCAAGATGCTCATCATAGTGAACCCCTGCCTTTTATTAATAAGACGTTACACAAAGTTAACAAAAGAAATGGTTAAAGATAGCAAGAGGAACAATTAATTCGAGAATGAATCGTTGAGTCTGTTGTGAAAGTTGTCGCTATGCTAAAAAGGGCGGTATTCGTAGGAACACCTTTATCACTTGTCGCGTCGCCGTACCTGAGCGCGCGAAATCTCGGGCCTGTCATTTGTGAAATGTAATTGTCGCTTAAATGTCGCTTATTATTCAAAAACTATTATAGCCTCGACATTTTTGTATTAGAATTTTTGTCTTGAAAGTTTCTAAAGAATTTATGATTAAAAGGACATCCGGTGGTTTTGGTACACCCTGTATAATTGGATTGTCCAATTATATTTAATCGGACACTGTTCTCAGTGTGCCTATTTATATCTTGCAAATTGTCAATCGTTTGTCGTTACGTGTCCTTATTGGCTAAAAGTCGCCACCAAGACCCCAAAGTATCAACCCCTTCCAGGATAATAAGGAATCGATAAATTGCAATGGCAAAATCGTCCGTAACGATCCGCTCGCGGAAAATTGTCCGGACGATTTTGCGAAGTACCGGCACGATCGTAATACCTCGTGTTATTAGCACCGCCCCGTCGCGCGTACCAATCGCGAATATTCCCGGCCATCGCAATTTTTGCGACACCACTTTAGCGCGCGGTAGCCGCGCGCGGTTCCCCCCCGCCCCCCCCCCCCGTATCGCCTGCGCTCTTCCTCCTCATCGTATCCTCGCGAAGAACATTCTCGCCAGTCCAGGACTGTATCATCTCGTGCAGCTGCCGGCTATGGAACGTTCGAATACGTTTTAGGGAACTCCATATACCCGCCGTATGCGGATACACCTTATGACTATTAAGGTATTCACGGCCCCTCGGAGGACGCCCCAGTTTGAAATATGACGACTCGGGTCACCGCCAGCGTATACCGCCAGTCGGAGACGCCGCTATCTCGCACCGTCGTTCTCCCCCTCCGTCATTTTCAATCCCCCCCCCCCCTCTCTCGCTCTCTCTCTCTCTCTCCCTCTCGCGTTTTTCCGTTTTTCCTTTTTCGTATTCCTTTCCTCGTGTCCTTGCACATACACGTACAACGTTCGGCGGAGTGTCGCACGGCGGAGAGGGCCGCATCCCCCTTATGCCGCGGTTTTCCATATTATTTACAGCCCCCGTCCTGCGCGTTGCCCCCGCAATAACTCGGTCCGGATCCGCGAACGTGCGAGCGTGTCGCCAAATTGGTGGAAACCGTACGAGGACGTCGTAACCTGTCCCGGCCTGTGACAACTCTGAGTGATGTAGTGGCAC